ATGATGGTGGAGTTTTTTTTCACACTGGGTTCAATATTACATGGCTAGAGTCATACAGACGTTGGACAAACAAAGCTTGTAACAAACATTTAGGTAATGTTTTTTCATTGTATGTTCCAGTTTTACAGTCAATCATTTAGTTACTATTTCAACTTAAACCCAAACTCTGACTATTACTGGATTTGCCTTTAAGCTCATTAGTAGTCTGCTCAACTGCCTTTTAAATAAAACCACGTTCAGTGAGCTTAAGTTGGGTATGTTTTTGTGCCTTTTACTTTATACACGCAAAGTTGATGACTACGAGCACAAAGATATTTGTGAGTGTTTTTTTCCTTCTCGAAGCCGGGTAGCTGGGTAGCTGGGTAGCTCGGTTTTTGATTTAGAAAAAGTTCATTATCTGTTCCTCTTGTATGACAGCGCAGGGGGAGTTTGTGAAAGCAGACCTGATCTGAGTTTTTAGTCAAACTGCAACTTGTTAGACTAAATTGCAGTTACAGTATTTCAAAGTGTCCACAATAACAATTCATGGTGTACTGAATTACTGAATACTGGCACATGTCTGCTATTGGCCCTCATACACACTCTTGTACAAGAGACAGCATTCTATTTTAGTTCCTCTACCTCTCTCTCTCTCTCCTCCTCTCTCTCTGTCTTTTATACTTTCTCCCCATCAAGTCTTGTACCTTAGCCCCAGGGTAAAGATCACATCAGATGTGAAATTAAAAAAAGATATTCTGTGCAGTAGCAGCAGTGCCAGGCACAGACTTTGACAAGGCCAGATGTTTTAAAAGGGCATTTGTGGCAGCACTTCTGGAGGACTTCATATCAGGATCATTTTCCGTACAGGAAAATACCTTTAAAGACAATGGGCCTCATTTACCAACCGTTCTTAAGTACAATCCCATTTCCAAAAAAGTTGTGCAAATCATTTAAACCCTATATTCCATTGAAAATGCTTCAAAGACAACACATCAAATGTTGAAACTGAGAAATTTCATTGTTTTTTGAAAAATATATGCCCACTTTGAATTTGATGCCGGCAACATGTTCCAAAAAGTTGGGACGGGGGCAACAAAAGGCTGGTAAAGTTGTGTAATGCTTAAAAAAACATCTGGTGGTTAATTGGCAACAGGTCAGTAACATAATTGAGTATAAAAAAGCATCCCAGAGAGGCTGAGTCTTTCAGAAGTAAAGATGAGGAGGAGTTCACCACTCTGTAAAGGCTGCACGATCAAAGAGTGCAACAATTCTAGAATAACGTTTCTCAACATAAAATAGCAAAGAACTTTTGCTTTTCCTCATCTACGGTACATAATAACATTAAAAGATTCAGAGAATCTGGAGAAATCTCTGTATGTAAGGGACAAGGCCAAAAACCTGTATTTGCTGGCCAATATCTTTGGGACCTCAGGTGGCACTGCATTAAAAAGACATGATTCTGTAGTGGAAATCACTGCATGGGCTCAGAAACACTTTTTGAAAAACATTGTCTGAGAAAACAGTTTGGTGCTGCATCCACAAAGAAACCATGTATAAACAGGATCCTAGAATGCTGCCACCTTCTCTGGGCCCGAGCTCATTTAAAATGGACTGAGGCGAAGTGGAAAAGTGTCTGTGGTCCGATGAATCAAAATTTTAAATTCTTTTTGGAAATCATGGACACTGTGTCCTCTGGGCTAAAGACCACTCAGCTTGTTATCAGTGTACAGTTGAAAAGCCAGTATTCATGATGGTATAGGGGTGCATTAGTGCACATGGCATGGGTGACGTGCACATCTGTGAAGGCACCATTAATGCTGAACAACATATACATGTTTTAGCAACATATGCTGCCATCCAGACAATGACTTTCTCAGCGAAGGGCTTGCTTATTTTAGCAAGACAATGTCAGACCACATTCTATGTATGTGTTACAACAGCATTGCTCCGTATTAAAAGAGTGCGGGTGCTAAACTGACCTGCCTGCAGTCCAGACCTGTCATCACTGAAAACATCTGGGAAAACATTTCACTTTGCTACAGCATTTGGTCTCCTCAGTTCCTAAACACTTACAGAGTGTTGTTAAAAGAAGAGGTGATAAAACATGATGGTAAACATGCCCCCCATCCCAACTTTTTTGGAATGTGCTGTTGGCATCAAATTCAAAATGGGTTAGGGTTATATATATTTTTCAACAAACAATAAAATTTGTCAGTTTCGACATTTGATTTGTTGTCTTTGTAATGTAGGGTTTAAATGATTTGCACATCATTGAATTTTGTTTTTATTTACATTTTGCACAGCATCCCAACTTTTTTGAAAATGGGGCTGTAAAATTCTTCTTAAAATCCACTTATGCAGTTTTCACAAAGATTCTGACATTCACCAATGTTTTGTAACTTGGAATTTATTCTATTATACTTGGAATCTACACACACTCAAGAGCACAAAGGGGCAAACAGTTTTGCTGTTTAAGAACACGTCATGAATCTTAGAACCTTTTTCAAGAACAAATTTAAGAAAAAACTTAGGAAGATACTGGTGTACGAGGCCCAACGTTACTCTAATACTGAGGTATTCTGTATGCAGCTCCTATTTTAATTATACAAACCTAATGCATATTCAAGTGAAATTTCTCTTGTTCCAAGAACCAAGAACAGACCTAATCCTAATAATCGTCCTTTTAAATAATTATAAAGACAATGTAATATTATTCAAACTCTTTATTATTTTACTGTTTTATTCTTTTTTCTCACTCCAGAAGCCAACCTGCACATAAAATCTGTTTGATAAGAGCAGTCAGCTGGCCTGGAAGGCTTTGGCCAAACTTGAGGTACAACACTAAAAACCATCGGTTTTCAATAAACTTAGACTGACATACTTTTACAGTCTCTTGCGTTTTGAAATATGAGCTAACATTACTGAGTATTTTGAGCCCAGTCAGATATGCTGGTGCTGTTGTGTGATGTAAACTAAAAGCTTTAGGAAAAAAATAGGTTGCTTAGACACAGCAGCACTGTGTGACCAGGCTGGTCCTTTTAAAGCCCTTTTTAAAATTAATGAACTGAGATAGTTTAAGCTTTTATACAGGTTTTACAAACGGGTAAGGCTTTGAGTGTATGCCAAAATAATAATTTAAAAGTCAGAGGTGTTGGTTTGGATTTTGCGGGACTTTTTCGGACCATGTCATAGGGTGCCGTCCTCGAATACTGGCACCCCTGGTAATCATGAGCAAAATGATCAGTAAAAAACATTCTATAATTATCTTTTCATTCTTTCATTCAAAATATTAGCAAACATCTAACTTTTATTTAAGGTATAATTTAAGTATTTTTCTTTTTTTTCCCCTAATTTTCTCCCCAATTTAGCCGTATCCAGTTTCATCCAGTAGTTAGGACTCCCCCAATCAGACAATACTACCAGCGCTAGGAGGGCGAAGGTTAGCACAGGCTTCCTTAGAGACCTGTGAAGCGCCACCACATCTTTTTGAAAGACCGCTCACGCAACATCATTGGACAGTTGAACATGTTCAGAGAAGAATGCTAAGCGCCAATTCTGTTACATCAGTTAACAGTTCCCTGCGTTGGCTGGCATCATGCTAAGTGATGGTGAGAGACGGAGGGCCATCCGACCCACCCAGAGACAGCGAGGACAATTGTGCTCTCTAAGACTCCCGGCCACGGATGGCTGTAATAAGTATTTTTTTTAAATCTAAGTGTGCCACAGTTGTTGGCACCCTTAGAAATTGTTAAGAGTGAAATCTAACTGAAGTATATTCTAATTCATATTTTATGACTTCCTGTTTCACTGGGGAATTTGTATGAGATAGACACACCAAATGCCTTTGGTCAAACATCACTATGAGAAATACGAGAGAAAACAGCAATTATGTATGACAAAAGGTTGTTGAGCTGCACAATCAGGAAATGGTGACAAGAAAACAGATAAAAAAAAAACACATCTCAAAATCAACACAAAAAATGATTCACTGACTACAGAATTAAGGTTTTGTCATGGCCACTTCCGTCCCCTGACTTAAACCCTATAGAAAACCTGTGGGATGAGCTGAAGAGGAGAGTCCACAGTGTGGACCTCAGAATCTGAAGCATCTGGAGAGATTCTGTATGGAGGAATGGTCTCAGATCCTTTGTGTTCTCCAGTCTCATTAAGCACGACAGGAGAAGACTCAGAGCTATTATCTTTGTAAATGGAGGCTGCACAAGGCTGCATAAAGTGTCACACACAGAATTGAGAAAAATATTTATTCCCTGACAAGATTTAAGTTTTTTTTTCAATCACTGTACTTCAAGTAAAGGTTAGATTTTTTGGTATTTTTTTTTACAGCCTGTTTTGCTCATATTTACCAGGGGTGCCAATATTTGTGGAGGGCACTGTACGTCTTTATGTACTAATATACTTATGTACACACGCAGACTCAAAAAGAAAGTCTGGCTTGATGTTTAGATCTCGAATGCAAAATCAACATTATACTGATGAAGATAAGAAGACAATATTAGATGATTCACTCATATCCTCAGAAGACACATCCTTTTTGACCGAGTTCTCTGAATACTCTTTCAACACACTCACAATCATTAGATTCATCTACATGGGGAATGGTCTAAAGCATTGTTACAAAATGTTATTCTGCACACTGTGTGCAATTGCATATTTCCACCAGAGAGGTCTCCAAATCCCCAAATCTTACAAAGTGTAGCTTTAACTTTTAAAGAGCCACACCTAGTAATCAGGATCCTGATTGAACATTAACATTTTCCAACTCCATTTTTCACTTAAGCTTTATAAAAGTTTAAAAAGGAAAATATTGAAATATATTACTATATACTCAATTTATACTTTGGAATTTGTAAACAACATATAAAAATATATTTCATTTCAATGGGGCATTTCAAGAAGTTTTTGTTTTGGAAAGTTTAAAACCATTACAGTAAAATTTAAGAGGTTTTTGACTGATATTTCATATATGAACGAACAGCTCACACACACACGTGTGCACTTACAAGATCTGCAGGGCAGAGATTTTATCCTTGAGCAGTTCTTGGGCCTTGTTGAAGTCAGACAGCATGTTCTGGGTCTCTCTGTTGTGCAGCGCATTCAGCTCCGTCATCTCTCTCTCGTGCTTCTTACACAGGTCCTGCTCATGAGCCCTGAGAACAAACACACACATACATCCATACATTTGTGGATTATTAATACATTTACTATTGCTGTCACAGCAGAACCTAATAATTCTGCGTGAACAGCAGTGACGGTTGGCAGACAGCAGAAACAGCATCATTTTAAACATCATCTTTTACTTTTTGGTAAACTTCTCAGTGAACAGAGGCATGAGATGAAGGTTTATAAGCCATTCAAAACTGCTTTATACTGGAGCTTGGTGCAGTTTGAACGATTTTCCCACAGACCTAGATAGGTAGCTAGCCAGGTTTTCTGCCAAACTGGGTGAATTTTGGCTAGATTTGGTGGGAGGAAAAGTCTTTTGGCAGGAGGGCAAAATATAGGCTGGTCTGTCATCATTTTGGCTGGTACTTAAAAAGAATACAAAATTAATAAACTACATTACTTAATAATGCATTCATCCAATCAGTTATCAAAACTTCTGTTGAGAGGAGGCCGTCGCCCCACCCATCTGCATTATTTGCAATCAACATTAGTGACTAAAGAGCCCAGGAGTTCATTATTGATGTTATTTCGGAAATAACATCAATACATGTGGTTTTACATTGTTGTTTTGTCCCATTAAATGTTTCTGAGGCATTCTGGGACAACGTACCGTTTGTGGCTGTCAGTATAGCCGAGTAAAGACAAAATAACAGCAACGCTACAAGCGTAAAAAGCACAGAGTTTAAGCAGACTTGAGACTGTGGCTTCATAATGACTCCTTGAAAAAGCCTAGTTGTTAGCGTTATTATCGGTGTCCTTTAAATGGAACTAGATATTGGACTTCCAGTTGAACATCACTGTTTGCTTCTGTGAGAGGTTCGCTTTAACTTTATTACACTTTATATTCTCTTTAGAACTGGATTCTTTACTCACTGGTAGGCTGAGCAGGTAGCAGTTAAAGCCTTTAAATAAAGTGTTACTTACTAATGTTACTTCCATACCTGTTATGAGCTAAAAACGTATATATTTAAAATACAGCTGACATAAAAATCCTATATAGCGCTGTGCTAACCCTGCTAGCTTGATGCAATCATAGCTACCATGGTGAAAATTCAAGGGACATTATCACAGTCTGATACTGTTGCTTTATCTGCCTCTATCGGGTGCCCACTGCTCGCTAGCCTTGTGGACCAGTTTCACCACCATGGAGCATTGGCTTTCACATGGGGACTTGGAGCCAAATTTTTCTGTGAAGCTGCTTTGCAACAATGTCTGTTGTAAAAAGCGCTACATAAACCTCGACTTCACCAACCTTGACTATTGGAGAAACTAACACACATTAAATCATATATTGTTTATTTGTTTACTCTAATATTAGTGCCCAGAGAAACAGCTTCATGTCATTTTCTCAGACGCCCTTTGCACAGTACTGTGTATACATACATTTTTATGAAAACATTATTGAATCTCTATCCTGCGCTGATCTCCGTGACCAGTACAGAGCTGCAGCTGCGGCCTGCTTCACCATCATCAGTATGCATGATTACAGAAGCACAGGCTGCCTTTGATCCTGTTCTTCTATTAAAATTTCATCCATCTCACTCATCTCAGTTTTGGCCTTCTTTTATTTCACTTTTTCCTCAGTAACAGCTGTCCTTTCGAAGAAAAGCGTGTATAATTCATGGTGGGCTCGGTGGGAGGGTATCACTGACTTGCGCGAGTGTAAACGGTTCCTTCTTTTTATTTATTGATTTCCATTCAGGAGAGTCAGAGGTTTCCCCCCGAGCACACGACATGGAATTAATCTCACAGCTTTAACACACTCATATACGTGCTCACAGATTCACATACGAGTGCCCATGCAGCACACACACTCCCCCTGACTGATTCATACATGTGCGCATGCAGAAGTAGGCCCTGCTGCCTTCCCAGAGTGCTTCTCCTCAAGGGACCAGAGAAGATTCTTTATTTATTTGCTATATATAGCATACGACTCAGGATCCGCTCCCATGTTACATAATTGGAAGTGAAATGTGCCCAGTGCAAAGCACATGTGTGCATTAGCTACACAGCATGAACGCAAACACACATGTATGCACGCACACTAAAACTGTATACACACATTATTTAACTCATCTCTAGTTTAAACAACATGGAAGCATTTTTTTCCTGCATTTGTAATTTATGACACAACAACCTCAGATTTTAATCAGAACCTAACATCAGTCTGCCAAGAGCATCATTTATTCATAAAATCTGAAATATTAATATCACACGCTGTGTGAAAATAAGGCGATGAAGACTAGTCTCTTTCTGAGACTTCAAGGCAGAGGTAACAATGTACAGTACTGTGCAAATGTCAGTGACCACCCTTCATTTATTTAACCATTTTTTAGAGATATTTCAGAAGATTAGATATAAAATAATAGCATTCCATCTAATCCACCATCATAAGAAGGTAAAATAAGTAAAGTAAGTGAAAAACCGTGAGCGTCCAAAACTGGTGTTCACAAAATGATTTGGGACTCCTGACAACCACCTGCAAGGCCTGGTAGACCCCCAAAACTGTCCCCAACAGATAAACAGTACTTAAAGCTTTTATCTTTGAGAGAGAGGAGAAAATCAAGCTCTACCCTTGCTTTAGATCTGAAAAAATCCGCAGGTGTTTCTGTCCATCCTTCCACTGTGAGAAGACGACTCAGCGCTATGGGTCTAAAGGATAAGTAGCTGTCAAGAAGCCTCACTGAGAAAAGCAAATAGATAAAAAGAACATTTGCAAATCAAACAAAGAAGCTGCTGGTGTTCTCAGAACAGCTGGCTGTCTTGCTTGTAATAAAATAAGAGAAAACTACAAATTCATGCTTTGTATCTATCTAACCCCAGTAAGATATATCTTAGCTTTTCTCCTTTGTGTTTTAGATGCAAGACCTATACAGGAACTTTGCTCCATGTTTTTTGAGATTGCAAAAAATTCTTTAGCTTTTGGGAATCTGTATGTTTTTGAAAAAAAAATATTGAAGGTACCTCAATAAAAGACCCCAATTAGACATCCTTTCAGCACAAATATACAGTAAATCAGACTCAATTTCCATTACAGAGTTGGGAGTAATATCCTATACAGCAAAGAAATGATTTCATTCTACTGCAGTAAGGAGCAGCCACTCTAATCTATCTAAGCCGCTTATCCTACTGGGTCATGGGGGGAGCTGGAGCCTATCCCAGTGGTCATTGGGCGGAAGGTAGGAAACACCCTGGACAGGTCGCCAGTCCATCACAGCAACAAAAAAAAATAAATAAAAAGAACAACAATGAACCGTCCACGCCTCAGACCTCAATCAGACCAGTCCAGACCTCAACATCACTGAACGTGTTTGAGTATTTGTATTGTGAGAAGCAGAAAATTCACCCAATTTCTAAGACTGAACTTTGGAGGTGTGGAAAAATATCCCTGCAGATTTCTTTAAAAAACTGAAAGCAAGTCTCCCAAACAGAATGGAGCTGCAATAAGAGTAAATAGCAGTTGATGCTTCCATGCAATATTCTGATAAAAATATGTTGTCAGCTTTTATTCCCTGATGCTTGTTCTTAATTGCTGTTTTGACTAAAAATGAAATAAATAAGGTGTGGTCTCTGACTTTTGCAGAGTACTGTGTGCCAGGAAGATCCAGTCATCATCAAAGAGTTCACTGCAAATAGCAGAACAGAATATATATATATATATATATATATATATATATATATATATATATATATATATATATATATATATACATATATATATTGGCAGTTGGCACACCCCTGCCATCCCTTCCCCTGAAATTAATCAACATAATAAGGGTTATGGCCTCAGCTCTAAGTGCTAGTTAGGCAAGCAGCAATGTCTTACAGTAGCTCAAAAGTTTTCAATAAATGCCACATCAATTCTCACTCGCTCAAATTTGAAATACACACCATTCTAAAATGAAATGAAGGCTAGAACTGACAAGCCTCATTACTGGCAGCTCCACTGGCTATTCAGAATATTAATGTGACAAGCACGCCACAGGCAAAGGCAACAGTGGAAAGTCAGTCACTGTATTTTTGTGTAGGCGGACAAAGGAAGAAGCTGGAGAGAAAATGGTGCAGTTTGCGGTCTGTTTACCTCTGTATGTATGTAGGCCAGGAGGCCAGAGTCCAGCACAGTTTGATGACCCCTGCTCAAATACACCCAATTCAACTAATATGTTAAATGGCCCATATCCTACATTCTTCTTGCATTTTAACAAATTCTCTACTTATGACATTTGTGTGGTTTTACGTGCCAAAAACAGAATTTATTTTTTCATGACTATTTTCCAGCTGCTCTTTATTATAGAATTTTTGTTTCTGTGCTATAAGACTGAAGAAATTACTAAACTGTGCTGGACACCAGCCCTCCAGTACCAGAACTGAATACCCCTGATTTAGGACCTTTTACATGTAGGAGGTGGAGCAAATCACGAGATGACAGGTCTTTGAAGAGTACAGGGCTATGTTCCCATTAACAGGCTAAAGTGGCACAAATCATATTTTTTAAGGAGACACAGATCTGATGTTTTCAGAGCTATGCGGACACATAAATCTGATTTTAATGTAATGTAATTTAAATGTAGCCAATGACTCCCCCTATAGACCAAACTGTGAGCGTCTGTAAAAAAAAAGGTTAGCTATACGTCCAGGTGGGTAACTCGTATCCAGTCAGTGTAGAAGCAGCTCAATGTACAGTACAATTTACAGTAACAGGCAAAACACTGGCAATCATGGCAAAATCTTTTTGTGTTTGATGCTGTAATGGCAAATGTACCCAGGTACATAATGGATCTTAATTACTTTTTTCCCATTTTCCAGGGTTTAAAAGCAGGCAGAGCTACTTTAAGTAGTATTAATCCCACTAATGGATCATCTATCTCTTGTAACACTTGTAGCTGAAGCCAGTGACAATCTAGCCAGTCTTCCAGATGCAGATGAAGTTGTGAACATCAACAATTAGAGCACCAGCATGTAACCTATGATGGTAAGCTGGATTACTTTGTAGTAGTCCTACTTTGTAGAGAGTTGAGAGTTCATCATGAGGTGACATAAGCTGGTTGGTGCTATTATCATTTACGCTAAGGCCACAGTACCTTCACACGTGACAGAGAAAATTTGCTTTTTTTATTCTAAACCTGCAATGCATAGTTTCATATCAGCCAACAACGTCCGCAAACTAGTAAATACGGTGAATAATTAGCCAAATGAGATGCTTTAGAGTGACATAAAATGACCAATAAGACCATTAATTTAATCATGGCTATTATAACGATTCCAGCTTCTCTCAAGTAGGTGGAAAATGAACTAAAACTAAAACCATAAATTCAGTTGCTTCACATCTAGATCAGCTCTTGATTTTGAATGTGCAGTGGAAGAACACCTTCATAAAGTGCATGCAGTGAAAGGTGGCTGGTGTAAGTGCGTAATTATCAAAAAAAAATAAAAACACAAATTTGTGAAGTGATCAACTTAGAAAGATCCATTTCTGTTTTTCCAATACCCTGGTTAAATTACTCTCAGGATTAATATGAAATTCTGTAGTTCCAGTGCAGTGCTACCTGCGTTATTCACCCGGATCACTACAATTCCTTTCAATTATTTTGGTATGATATAATTACCTTTAAAATATTCAGTGAATATATAAATGTGACTAAAGGAACTATTTACAATACAACAAAAAGAAGTCACTCAGTTTTTTTTTTTTTTTATTTAAAATGGCCTGAGGATTTTAGTTAAAAATAAACCCTTAATTCATTCTCCTCAGTGTCTTCAATTTTATTTATGTAAGTAGATCAAGCTAGAGTATGGTACTTTTCTCTGAGGTTATGGACTCTTGCAGTATCTCTAGGTACTTTGTAAACTTAGAAAAAACAGAAATTGTGCACCAAAATTAGCAGAAAATACCATATTTCAATTTGTCCCCTTGATGTGTTAACTTATTTTCACTTAGCAAATCAACAAAATATGCCACTTGGCCAGGGTGTACAAACTTTCTCGTAAGTCTGCGCATCTAAATGTAGCTTAGCCAAAAAATGAGAGCACACTTTTCAGTTGATTTTAATCAGTTCTGATATTCTACAATCAATCCAATTCCACAATGAACGGCCTCCTTCAGACACACCACAATGCACTCGTATTTTTACACCCACAACATACACACACACACTCACCTGATCTGCTGGTTAGCTTCGCTGCGGATCTTCAGGACCTCCTTGCCCTTCAGCTCCAGCTCTTTGGTGAGGGTGCTGATGTTTTCGTTTAGGGTGTGGATCTCATGGTCCAGGTCAGCAATGTGGTTCTTCCTGCGGGTCACTTCCTCCTGCAGGTCTGAGATACGACTCAACAGCTCCCGCTCCTGCAGTACACATAGAGAGGGAAGCAAAGACTGTTGGTTAAAGCCTTATGTGTCCAGAGAGATAGTGCGCAAGACTGCACTGATTGCTTCTGTTTCTTAGTCCCAGAGGATGATTATATTAGAATACAAAATGTTCCAGTGTTGACATTCCGCTATTTTATCAAACACCTGTCTAATCTATCAGAATCTGACAAGGAGGATGTGAGTAAAGTAATAAAAGGTCACCGAGGTCTTTTATGATATATCTTCTCAGAAAATGTGGCACAACATGGTACAGATTTTAGAGATTCCTGCCCAATTACACAATACACACGGTTGGTGAACTGAACCCATATTATCAAGCTAAGTAGTGGAGCACAGGGCACAAATGAACACTGTTTTCTGCTAAATGTTTTAAAATGTTTGAGTAAGATTATTAATAGTAGCAACATGTACATCGCTGCTACAAATGAAAACATACACTTCCCTGCTTAGACCAGAAGTTCCAAATATGGGTGTGATGCTGATTACAAAACAACAACATAAATGTCCCAGAGGTCTATTCAATAAAATTCAGTTTGAACCAAATGAGCTTTCCAGCCGAACAAAAAAATTATATAAGCATACAAATATAGGCATTAAACATGCATCACTAGAGCCAAGAGCCTGTGTGATAAACAGCAAGTTATCAGCAAGATAAATTGAAATATGTTTTATTAATGGGATGTAAATCTAACCAAAATAACTTACTAAATAAACACACTTTAAAAAGTTTTGAAAAAATGAATTAATTTATACGGGAAAAATGTGGACCGCTTTTATTGTTTACTTTGGAAGGTCCCTTCTATGGCCAGGGACCACAGGCGGGCCCAATGTTTTGTTACACACTTCTATAACCAACGAATAGCTCAACCAGTTTGCATTAAAGTCCCTGTAGTTCCAGAATAATAAGCCTAAGTATGTAATAAGCCTGGGATTTTAAGGGGTTCATGTGTAATCTGTTCTTTAGCCTGAGTAGCTCCTGCTGTGAGTTGTTTATTTGCTTCAAAATGGTGCTATATTACAGTCACCAAGAGAGTGATTCAATAATATAGGTGTGAATTCTGTGACTTGTACATAACTCAGTCATTAAAAACACTTATGAGGGAAAAAACTTTTATGTTCTTCAGAGTGAATCACGAGAGATGTCTGTCCGATTGCTGTGAAAATCCACAGATGATGTTGCTATGGAAATGCAAGAAGATGGCCAGAAGCGTGTTCTACTTGGACCTGTTAAACTACATAAACAACCTGTGTTACAAATTACCCTGCATTAAGACATGCCCGGTGTTCCTCTATATTCTGCAGAATTGGCAATGTGAATGTGATCCTGTCATTTGTATGGCAGCACCATCTTCTCTGATGCTTTAAATAAAATCACTTAAACCTCAGGACTTCAAAAATGACAGCTTTGAAAAGTTTAGACATTCTGGTCTCTGATTTTCACCTCCCACTGCACTTTGAGGCTGAGCTAGGATGCAATATTGATGGTTGCGCATTTCTGCTTTCCTTTTTGCCTTTTTTTTGGTCATCTCCTGTGCTGTATGTGAATAGCTCTCCTATGAATAAGTAAAAGGAGGGTGACCAGCCAGCCGTTGTGTTTTTATGCTCTGAGCCATGCTTGAAAGATCAGTCTGCTGTCTCTTCTCACCGTAGAGACTAAGTGTCCATTTTTGATGCTATGCGAACATCTCCTGCTGGACCAATGAAGCTAATGGAGTGTAAGCTGAAGCAACAGAGGATGAGAAGAGCTAATGCTAAGTCCACAGGCCTCTGAATGTTCGGACACTCTATTTAAATACAGGACAACAACAAGAGTCCCATGGAGACAGCATATGCATAAATTATTCTGACACTTACTGAAATGAGATGAGATGAGGGAAGGCATCCAATCTTTCTGTACAAATCCCCCAGTGCCACACATGCTTTTCCAGCCGCAGCTGTTAAGCCCCTTATGAATAAAGCCCAGCTTTGAATACATAATCAAAATACAATAACCAAACAACCCCTTGCTGGCTTTAAAACGTGTATAACTGCATCCATATTAAACTTATACATTATTAGAATATGCATCATCTGTTAAGGAATTTTGCAGGCAATACATTATCACAGTGAACTAGCCGTCAGTGCGAGAGAGAGAGAGAGAGCGAAAGCAAATTAAGTTGCCCTCTTAACACGGCCGCAATTTCCAGCGTCCTGTACAGGGTAGTGGAGATTAATCAAACCGTGCTCTGCGTCTGCCGGCTAATTTTCCACTCCAACAGCACGGAAGACGAAACCCTGCTCTTCCTATAGCACATAGCGCAGCCAATAGCCATCTTTATGAACTTAATGGATCTTGCTTAATTGAATTACAGTCTGCTCATCCAACTCTTGAGCTTCAGTAAATATCATTTCACACCTCACAATTAGCTTAATAGTGCTGTCAGAGTCTCTGTACTTTGGGGTTAAAAACCAAAGCCTCATCCAAAAGTTTCATGTCCGAGGATGGAGATGCTAGAAGAAACAGATGCAGCATAGCATTCATTGTTTGTCAGCACATAACTTTTTTTGAGCTTTGTCTAAAAACAACACTTTACAGAAAAAGCTCATTTATACAGTTTCCCCCCTTACCCCAAATGTAATCAGTCAGACAAGACATGTTTGGTGTCTGAAGTTTGCTTCTTAACTGTTGTACTGGAGCTAACTCTAGCTAATAAGGCTAATGTTATAGAAATCAATGTCACCCATGAAGATTTTGGGTGACATAAAGGTACTCTGCAAAATCCAGAGACCACCTTTTCATTTATTTAACTTACAGTCAAAATGGAACACTTTCCAAGTTGGCTGCATTTCTTGCTGCTCATCATCAAAGTCCAAGTTCCTTTTATAATTTTGACTCAATTAGGCTTTAAAGAAGTTTCAGTGTTGCAGTGTGAATGTTCTTCAGTTTTGTCTGTTTCCTCTTCCCAGTTACAGCTCCTTGACCGCTACACATTGAGTTGAGTTGCAAATTTTCTTTTAAATTATATGGGGCTACCCATGGGCCCATGCTTCAATTCCTCACTTTTATCATTTTCATATTCATATCATCATTTTCATATTTATGTCATTGTAGTTGCTAAATAATTTGTAGTAGATAATGACTGTATGACAGTATGACAATAAGTAACTAAAATAAAATTACATAAATATTATGCAGGTGACAATGCAGTGGTGCATGTCATGTCCAGTGAATGAACCAAGTGACTAAACACTGTAAACGATAACATATGTTAATAGTTGTATATGTATGGATGTATAAACAAAGTGGCCGTGCAATATGGACTATGTGTAGATGTATAAACAAAGTGGCAGTGCGATATGAAATATGTATAGATGTATAAACAAAGTGGCAGTGCAATATGAATTAGATATAGATGTATAAACAAGGTGGTAGTGCAATATGAAATAGATATAGATGTATAAACAAGGTGGTAGTGCAATATGCAATATGTATGGATGTATAAACAAAGTGGCAGTGCATAGCAAAGAGTAGAGATATATAGTGCCCACAGTGCCAGTGACGAGGTGTTGTACAGTGTGGTCACTGCTGATTCAAACGATCTCCTGTACCATTCCTTACTACAGCGGAGCTGAATGACTCTCCTGCTGAAGGTGCTTCGCTGTCTGACCAGTAGGTCATAGAGGGGGTGTGATGTATTGCCCAAAATAGCAGTGAGTTTATTAAGTGACCTCCTTTCCACCACAATAATTTACAAAAGTTACTTAAGGTCTAAAATTAACACCTGAATGAATAATAAGCACACAGTTGCTACATATCCTTCAAAAGCTTTGAAAGACCAGTGCAAGTGCATTTTTTAGTGCTGTATTTCCCCTGACATTGAAATTTGGTGAAAGAGTAGGCTTAAGATATGTCTGAACAAAGATTTTAAAAGCCACCCTAAGATTCGGAGAATGGTGGCTCCTTCAATCAAGCCTGTACGGGTTAATACCCATTTCATCAGCCACTGTAATCCAATCATATCCCAGCATCTGACAACAAGGCTCTGCTCTCTCTCTCTCTCTCTCTTTCTTGCTCATTTTGAAGGATTTCCAAACTTCAGTAAGCACATTTTTCTGATGAGTTTCTCTCATCCTGCAGATAGCAAGCTGAGGGAAGCCTGAGTCTCAGAGGAACTCATGATGGGAAAAGGGCTGCACTCTGGTTCACTGCTTGGGACTGAATTTGTGAGTATGTGTGGGTGTGAATGTGTGCTAGCTACCTGAACTCCGGTGCAGCCTGTCAGTGGAACTGACTAGTGATATTTCTATTAGCACTTAAACGCAGGAAGAAGCCAGCGGCAAGCCTGCATCTCCAAAGGCCTGGCCTGTAGAGCCTGCAGGAGTCATGCCCCTCTTTTTATGAAGCAGAGCACTGGGGACTACTGTTTTCTAGAGAGCCCAAGCTCTTAAGCCAGTGCTGCTAAGGACTGTACATTTGTCTCCTCCGTCTTATTGTCTATTGTTCTCTATTTACTGTCTGCTGTCGTGTACTTATAGTTTGTGATAACTTATTGCATAGTGTACTGCATTGTTTATTGTCTGTACTTATTGTCTTTATTGACTGCTCTACTGTTGTCACTATCCACTTGTCTCCTGCTGTTTTGTGTTAAATGTTTCAGAGGAGCTGTAATTCTTTCCTCACTCAACTCATGTCTGTGATGAGAAGTAAAGTAAATAAAGTTTGACTTGATTTGAAGTATCTTCTTCATTCATGTTGGTTCATTACAGACTCCAAAATGCATCCATTCTCTTGGATAATATAATGGCAGTGTTTGCCAGGACCTCATAACAAGGGAGATTATAATTGATTAGGGCTGTGGTGGAGAATCTGGCAGAAAACCAGAGGCCTCATTTGTAAAACATTTGTACACTTCCTTATAAGATAACAAACAAAATCCCATATATATCTTATGTAATTTTTATTTTTTATTTAAATTTGTCATTTTCAAGTATTTTAG